AGATTATTGAACTGATTCAAGCTCATGTATTCTCTCATCTGCAATTACATATAAATATGTAGCAATACAGTGTCTTGAGTGTGATGTGTTGTTGCATCGCGAACCGGCTTTCAATTGGTTCTTTCATTTATTTGCTCTTCGGAAACCTGCAAAGTACGTCAAGAGGTGTTTTCGGTGTAAAGCCTCCAACGATCAAGTCAGTAAAGGACTAAGAAAAGGAAAGTTGTATAGAATGTATGTAATGCTATTGTAGATTCTAGAGTGTGTAACTTTTTGCCTTTCATGCCCATACCTACTTATAGTGAATTTATGGCTTGTTGGGCAAGTTTTGCCCTTCTCGTCTGTCCAAAGGTCTGCACAAGTGCCCTAGTTGCATGAAAGCTTGCCCTATGGTTAAGTGCCCTAATTGCATGAAGGCTTGCCCTATGGTTACTTTATTGCCCGTAAAGTCTAGGTTCTTGCTCCATGTGTACTCTATGAGTAGGTCTATTCAATACATTGTTCCTAGGTCTTTTACACTAAGAGCACCTGCATCAGTCCATTAATTTGGACCATTTAAATGGATTGGCCCCCATTCAACAAATGCAGCCATTCATTCATTTGTGGGGCCAATGCTAGCGTTCAATGTCCTTAACGGCTCTTTTGAGCCTTATTTAATTTTTTTTTAATTTTTTTTAGCTGCTTTTTTTGTTGTTTTGTCAACGGCTCTTTTTCAGCCTTTTTTTTTCAAGCTTCTTTTTATCTTTTTTGTTAACGGCTCTTGAGCCTCTTTTATTTTTTTTAAGCTTCGGTTTTTTCTTTTTTGTTTATATTTTTTATCCACATTTTTTTGCCTATAAATACAAATAGATCCCAATAATAGGCAAAACTTTCAAAATTTCTCAAGTTCTAATCCTACCAATCCTGATGAATTTTCCCAAGCTCTTTATCCTGCACAATTTTTTTCCACAATTCCCATCAAATTCTCCTTTATGCAACAATCCCAAAATTATCCAATGTCTGGGAATATTCAATATTTATAATTTCCTCCACAAGCTTTATTTCAAAATCCACCACCTGAATATTGACAGTACATAAGTAGTCAAAATATGGTGCAATCTTCTCCGCAACAATCGAGTCAATCTTCTGGATCTCAAATGAGGGTAGAACTCGATACTCAAACTTACGTTCCGGAAACACAATTGCAGGATCGTGAAGCAGCCATAAATGTTGAAATGCCAAGAAACACACGTGTTGCTGCTGAGGGCCGAAAAAAGCGTCCACAATGGACAACGGAAGAGGACGTACTATTGGCAAAGGCTTATGTGACAATAAGTGACGATCCTATTACCGGTAATGATCAGAAGGCCGAAGCATTTTGGGTACGTGTTGCAAAGTATTATAATGAAAATACACATTCTGATTATATTTATAGAGATTTTAATATGATAAGATCTCACTAGCATAATACAATTCAAAAAAAGGTATATCGGTTCAATGATTGCTATAACAGTATTTACTGTGTGTATCAAGTGGTTGTAGTGATGAGGATATATGAAGTCGGGCGTACGAAAAATATCGTAGTGAGAGTAATGGTGTAGCCTTCAATCTTGAGCATGTATGGAGAATCCTAAAAGATCGTCCTATGTTCACTCCACAATCTTCTAGTGATATTTTTGTTGAGAAAAAAAACGAGGATTGATGAGTCTGGTGCCAGCAACACTTCATCAAAGGGGGATGTGAGCATTGATGTAGATGAACTTCATGAAGTGGCTCGCCCAATCGGACAGAAGGCAGCCAAACGAAAAGCTAAGGGCAAAGAAAAATCTAACCTTGATGAGATGACCACAGAATACAACAACATGGTTAAGCATCTTGCTGAGTTGACAAGCTTGAAAAAAGCTGAAGTTGAAGTTAAAAAAGGAACTCTTGAGGAAAAGAAGCAGAGGAATCGTCGAAAAGACTATGATATTTTAATGAGGGACACAAGCCGCATGACCCAAGAGCAACGTATTACTCATGAGAAAATGTGTCAAATAATTCAAGAGAAATGGAACTTTTAAACTTTGCATTATCTATTTTAATTATCCTTGTAATTTTGTACGTTGTGATTTGCAAAATTGAAATTTTAGCTTGTATTTTATTTAAGTTGTTCTTGTTATTTAAAGCAAACTCACATAATTTATTCAAAACAAACTCACATATTAAAAGCAAACTCACATGTTTCCTAGTAAAAAGAAGGAAGCTTCCTCACAATTTCCTAGTCAAAGGAAGAGAGCTTCCTTACAACTTCTTGGTCAAAGAAAGGGAACTTCCTCGTAAGTTCCTAGTCAAAGAAAGGGAGCTTCCTCGTAAGTTCCTAGTCAAAGAAAGGGAGCTTCCTCGTAAGTTCCTGGTCAAATGAAGGGAGCTTCTTCGCAACTTCCTTGCAAGAAGCATTTGTTTGTCTAAGTACCTCATTTTGTATCTCATTCTAAGTGAAAGAAAAAGAAGAGTCGAGTTTAGAGAGTGAGTCTTTTATTGTTTTCACATTGGTGTGTTGTTGTTATTTCATCTTGTCCGATTCTATTTCCTAACAATTTACACACTTTAAATTCAATTAGAATCCTCACAAAATATCTCAAAATTCATATAGATCCGAGTCTAATTCATCATCATCCACCGATAGTGAAGATGGTGATAACACTGACGATTTAGAAGTTGAAATGATTTCATCAATCGTTCAACGAAACCACGAGTTACTTCAAGCATACCAACATGAAATTGAAGTTCGTAGAAGAAGAAGGTTCATCCAGAGAAATCGAGAAGATGGGCATAACAGACTTGTAAGTGATTATTTCTCTGACTATCCTGTCTACCCGGATCATATATTTCGTAGGCGTTTCCGTATGCGAAGAGAATTATTCCTTCGAATTGTGAATGCACTTCAGACACAATCATCATATTTCCAGCAAAACTTTGATGCATCAGGAAGACAAAGTTTGTCACCACTTCAAAAATGCACAACAACCATTCGTCAGTTGGCTTATGGAGTCCTAGCTGACCACCTTGATGAGTATTTACGTATGGGTGAGTCAACTGCTATCAAATGTCTTTTTAAATTTTGTGAAAGTGTGGTTCAAATTTTTGGTGATGAATATTTGAGAAGACCGAATAATAGAGATGTTCATAGACTCCTCCAAATGCATGAAGAAAATCATGGTTTTTCGGGTATGCTTGGAAGCCTTGATTGTATGTATTGGGAATGGAAAAATTATCCAGTTGCTTGGAAAGGCCAATTTACAAGAGGACATGGGTCTCCTACGATTGTCCTTGAAGCGGTTGCTTCACACGATTTGTGGATATGGCATGCCTTTTTTGGTGTTGCAGGATCACGTAACGATATCAATGTATTGTATGAATCTCCTCTATTTAATAATGTGTTGCAAGGAAATGCATCAAACATTAATTTTACAGTCAACGGCACGCAATATGCAAATGAATATTATCTTACAGATGGAATATATCCAGAATGGGCTACGTTCGTAAAGTCTTTTCCTTGCCCGTCAGATCCTAAAAGAAAGTTATTTAAAGAAAAACAAGAAGCTGCTCGAAAGGATGTGGAAAGAGCATTTGGGGTGCTTCAGTCTCGATGGGCAATTGTAAGAGGTCCTGCTCGATTTTGGTATAGAAGAAAACTGAAATTTGGTATGTTGACATGCATTATTCTACATAATATGATTGTTGAAAATGAAGGAGTTGTAGTAACAATTTGGCACAATGACGAGGATGAAGAGCCGGCACAACCTGTCCAGGGTTCAAATCGAGAATTTCAAAATTATATCCGTAGAAGTTCAAAGATACGAGATAACACAGTTCATCATCAACTTCGTGCCGATTTAGTTGAGCATATTTGGTCTTGTAGTGTTCTTTTATTTTCATGCATTTAAAATTTATTATTATAATTTAAAAATATTAGTTTTTTATTTTTATTGAGAATAGAATATTAAAATTTATATTGAATGAATGGATATAATGGGTCCCATATTTGTATTTAAATGAATGTTTAGGGATGTGGGTGTGTGTTTAAATGGAGAGAGAAGATGATGTGAATGAGAGAGAGTGCAACTTTTTGATTGAATTAATGGGAAAAAAAATTATGGATGTGGATGCCCTAATGACCCTAAGTCCAGCATGTACAATATTTGAACAATATTATACAACAGTCAACAGGTCTAACTAGCTGTCTAGCTATGTCGAATATTTGAACAATATTACTCGTAGGTCGGTCGTCCCATTGGTTCCTATTATGTGCAAATAGTCTGTCTACCCACTTACTTGCTAATAGGTCCTTTAACCACATATCCATATGTCCACAATCTATTGTCTACATGTCTTTTAAGTACACACATTATCAATAGGTCTTCCGACCTTTGTGCTCTAATGTCCCTTAAACACATAACCCGTAAGTCTCTAAACATAAAATAAAGAACACTGTATAACCTTACTAAAATATTTTTTACTTCAATAATATAGCTTATCAATTATGTCAAAAATGCTATTTATTTTTCATTTTATACGCCGATTAGCATTTTTTTTTTGCCGATTTTCTTTTCTTTTCTTTTTTTTTTTTTCTCTCTTCATTCTATTTCTTATTTGCGATTTCTTCTTCTTCTCTTCTTTTTCTTTTCTTTGATTTCTCGCAACAGAACCAACAACCCCCAAAAATTTAATTCACTTCATCTTCTTCTGCATTAGTTTTTTTTAGGGTGTTCACGGTCTGGATTGGTCCGGTTTAGTCTAAACCATGACCAAACAGGGCCTAACGGTTAATTTTTTTTCTTGTCCATAACCGGACTGCTTTTACTTTTTAACTGACCACAATTCGGACTGCATTGGACGGTCCGGTTTGACGGTTAACCGGTTAAATCCAAAATCCTTGTTTTGGGCTTTCAATTTCTATTTTTTTCATTTTGGGCTTAATTTTTATCTTTCAATTTGGGCCCAAAAGAGATTATTTGGGCCTAAAAATTAAGAAAAACAACAATAATGAAATAAAATATATGCAATTCGTCCCATAAGCATAAAAATACACATTTCGTCCCATAAACATAAAAATACAAAAATGATGAAGATTAAATTATGCAAACTGAATCCAAGCAAGCATTCATTTTTCAGTCAGTTTATACACCTAAAATAATAAGAGCAAAGCATTCATAGTGAATGTATTGTATTTGTCAGCCATAATGAATGACTGAATGTATATATATATTTGTTATAGTTTTTTAATATTTACCGGTCCGGTCCAGTTAAACCGGCGGTTTGCCGCAGATAATTTGTTAACCAGACTGGTTATTCTGGATTTTTAAAAAAATTAACCAGCGGATTTTTAAGGTTTTTTTAACTGATCATTTAATCGATCCGCGGTCCGGATTGATGGTTTTTTTCGGTTAAAACCGGAGCGTGAACACCCCTAGTTTTTTTTCTTCCTTTTTTTTTTTTTGNAATATTACTTTCTATAATTTACTGCAGTTGGAGCCCTAGCCCCATGTTCGGCGCCTTACAGAACCCAATAGCAACCTCATCATCCATATTCTGAGAAGGAGGTCGCGACAACGCCAATTGTTGACTTCACAAATACAACCTTTTTATACTAACCCCTATAAATACAACCTCAATTATCCCAATTTGTACACCAAATTTCAATTCTAATTAATTTCAACCGTTCAATTAGATTATTCCGACGAGATCAATGGCTAGGACGATGAACGGAAAGACGTCGAGATAGTCAACCTGAGAATGACGTCCATCGCCTGGCATTTCAATTGGACCTAAAGGTTCGGACCCGAATAATGTTGTCATATCCGGGTCAGACTGCAACTCTGGGTTCAATGACACGTACCATCGGGTCTATTTTAATGAAACTATTAAATTTAAAGTTCTTACAAATCATCCAATCCGTATGGAATTCTTTGATATCAAGTAAATGCTTCTTTCTGAGATATTTTGATTGTTGGAGAACTTTTCAGTTTATATTTTATTATTTATAAGTAGTTGGTTTAATGTTGCTTGACTGATTTTAATTTGTTGTTTTGTTGTTACGTTTTTGTTTGTTGTTTTCATAATATACATTATTAATTTTTCAAGTTACAATAATAAATCTTTGTGTTGCTTTTACTTAATTTAATTGTTATATTATGTATATAACTAATTGATCAATCTTTTCGTTTTATTATTTTTTTTTTAGTTTTTTTCTTAGGCATTCATATTTAGAGAAGAAGAAGAGCAGAAGAAAAAAAGGGGAAGAAGAAGAGGGAAATAGTGTGAGAAAGAGAATGAAGAGAGGGAAAGAAAAGAGGAAGAGAGAAGAAAATAGATAAGAATGTTTTAATTAGGGGCTTTAAACTTTAGAATAATCTAGCATTTATGGAATTATTGTAATCCATAACTTTTATGGAATATTTTATTTTGACTTGGGCAGTTATGTCTATTGGCCCTTAAACACATTACTCGTAGGTCCCAGTTTATTATCTACAAGTCTCTTAAGTGTCTATTGCCATCAACATCATGATGTGGAGATGGTTGTGCAAAGGAAATATTTGCATTTCTATCATCTTGTGACTTTCTGGACTCCAAAACTTCTTTCTTAGCCTGTAGATATTCCTAATCATTTCCCTAAATCTTCCTCAGATAAACCATCGCTGCTTGAAGATTCTCCAGATGGTTTATTGTCATCATCCTCACTTTCATCTAAAGGAAACTCAACAAATCCTATCCCTAGACTCCTTTACTAGTTCAACCTCAACAACATCAGATAGCTTATTCCTAGATTCCTTTACTGATTGAACCTCAACAACTTCAGAATCAACATTTATTTCAACATATTTTTTTCTTCCTTACATTTGACCCAACAACTCCATAACATTAACATCATTTTGTATTTCCTTAAATTCATGTGTCCTCTGATGCTTATGACATACTCTACCCCAGTTTGCATATTCAATTTCTGTATTTCTTCTATAATGCCAAAATAACCAAACTTATCTGGATCCAACCCACTAACTGTGGCAATACAACCACCAAAATACTCCTCAAACCCATCAACAATGATAAATCTCCCCTTATGATTATAAATAATAGGAACAAATATCTATAAATTTGAAAAATCGAACAAAATTAAAACCTCGAACTCTAGCAAAATACAAATTAAATGAAACAATAACGACAATTACCTTGCAACCATGATGTAAACACGTTAGTGTGTATGTCCACGATAATCTTCACCAAAAGATAGAAAACACGCTTTTTGAAATTTGGAGCATTTCGGGGCTAGGGTTTTTTCATGTGAATTTAGGGAAAAAAATGGGGCTACAACGACTTATATGATGGATGATTTGACTTATGTCTGTTGAGTTGGACTTCTGTTGGATGTCCAATGCCTGGTCAGTTAAAAAAAAACTTTCACGTTGTCTTTCTGTTGACGGAGGTTTGATGTGTGTATCGAATTGTCAATAAATCTTAGTTGATGTATTAAATTGTAAGATGTAAATGTGGTGATTGAATGACCAATCGAGTAAAAATGGTGTATTTTATTTTAATAGAAATATGAACCTTTAGTTAAAAGAAAGAGCAGCCTCTATTGAAAACCACTTTGTCATCCAGCTGCAAAACAATGAACATTCTAATGAATTAGTGAATATCATGTCAAAAGGCGATGAACATTCAATTTGACGCAAATGAATATTTAGTCAAGGAGAATAGTAAAATTTTCAGCTATACTAAATATTTATTTGATGCAAATTAATATTTAGTAATTTAATGATTTTATGTACTGTTTGATAAATAAAAAAATATGTATTCATGAAAAAGCAATTATAGAATTTCAGTTGGTTAAATAAAAATTTAGTGCTCGTCAAAGTGCACTTTTAAAAAAATAAATAAAAAATAAAAAAAATCAAAGCGCCAATTAGTTCTGATTGAACCTTATTCATTTCTTGTCATATACTTTTTCTCCATTTTCTTTATCTTATTTTAAATTATTGGTAACAATAACCTTACCTTACTTATATGTGTGGTAAGAGTGAGGCACCCTTGACATGAGGTCAAGGGTTCGAGCCTCCCGGAGCGCAATGGTGGAACAATTAATACTGAGGACTAGAAGCGGCAGTGTGAGAGACTAAAACTCGGTGGAAACCAGCGGCTGGATAGGTGGGGCCAGCATGAAGTTGGGTGGGCCAGCAGCGATCACTTCGATGGGAACCAGTGGCTGGATAGGTGGGGCCAACTTGGAGCTGGGAGGACCAGCGAGCGATCACTTGGGGATCGACTTCTTGTGCGCGGTAGTTGAGGGTATTAAGTGCCTGAGAGCCATTGTGTGGCTACCGTGGTTTAATTGAAGGCAGTGTCTGAGGGGCCGGAGCTGTTTTCTCGAGGACTAGTCAGGCGCAAGACTGGAACCTCGGTATCAAAAAAAAAAATAAATAAATAAATAAATAAAGATGTTGATCATAACTCATAATCTCTTGTTGATTGCAAAAGTTGCTAAATTTCCAGAAAAGTCCATATAGCCAGCCAAAGACCAAACACATCATAATAAATAGGCTCCACAATTTGATAGCTTTTGTCGTGCCACCTAATCCTCTGCGGAACCACTCCTTAATCTCCTACATCTCGACTACATGATCTGTGTACTTTATCTCCCTCCTCACGCTTCCTCGAGTTGTACCACGTGATTTTTGTTGACTCTCACTCGACGGTACAATCATATATAGCTGCGTGCGACCAGCGGGTCTACCCGAAATACACATACAACAACTAATTAAAATAATATGAATATATATACCAACGCAAACCGGCATCTGAAATTCTATCTCAAAATTGATAATCCAATCTGTGCTGTCGTTGCGTTTTGCATCTCTTCCTTCTCTCTCTTCAGAGAATTCTTAAAATTTTGGGAGATTGGAGTTTTCCTTTGAGGAGCAAAAACCCTAGAAGATTTAATTGTGAAATCCACGGGCTTCGAGCTCCGAAGTTTTTTGGGTCTGGATGAGCCGTGGGGAGGGAGAACCACCGGAATTTGTGCCTGTAGCAAGATAGTTTTTTTTTTTTTTTCGGATATCTTCTTATCGGGAAATGCCAAGCATTGGTGTGAAATTATACAGCGTCTTCTTCAAATTAATGCTCAAGCATCGCCTGCAGAGCCGATTGCAGGCGCCGGAAAACGATGCTGGCGGCGGCTCCTTCGGCGTTACCTCGCGGCCGGATGAGGAGGCCGCCGCCGCCGCTAATCCCTCCTTCACCGACGGCGTCGCCACCAAAGACATCCACATCGATCCCGTGACATCTCTTTCCGTCCGCGTTTTCCTTCCCGATACTTGCCTCCATTCCCCCGAGACACGAGCCAGATCTGGAACCGGGTCATCGAGCCCCGGATCAGATCCAAACCAGGCCATAACCCGCCGGTACAGCTACGGATCTTCTGATGGCATGGCCGTCTCCGGCAGCAATGGTGTGGCCGTGAAGCGCGCTCAGAACGCCGACAGCAGACGAAATAGCTACGGGTGTAGCATTGATGACAGTATGATATCCGATAACGGGATTTACAGAGGGTACAATCCGGTCGGCCATAACCGCCGCCGGCTGCCGGTGATGCTGCAGTTCCACGGTGGGGGTTTTGTTAGCGGCAGCAATGACTCGGCGGCAAATGATTTCTTCTGCCGGCGGATCGCAAGGCTGTGCGATGTAATTGTGCTGGCAGTGGGGTACAGGCTGGCGCCGGAGGATAAGTACCCAGCGGCGTTTGAGGATGGGTTCAAGGTGGTGCATTGGCTCGCGAAACAGGCGAATCTGGCTGAGTGTAGCAAGACATTGGGGAGCTCGAGAGCGGGAGGAGGAATGGATTTGAGGAGGTCGGAGGGTAGCTGGCAGGTTTCAGATGCGTTTGGGGCTTCCATGGTGGAGCCATGGTTGGCTGCTCATGGAGATCCATCCAGGTATTTTTAAAATTTATTATTGAATTTGTTGATTTCTATCTGATTATGCATTGCGGTTTTGTTTTAGGCGTTGTTGTTTCTTGAGTGGGTTGGTTTTACTTTGATAAACATTTTTAAATGAAGATGATTGCACGCTTGGGGTCTGTATAAAATGTGTTAATTGTAAAAACCCCAGGAAGTCGAGTGAACACGTTGAATCTGCAACAGCTGAGTCTTGAGTCAATTTTCTTTGCTGGATTGAACTTGAATTTTGGATACAACCAGGTAGTGTACTGTTGGAGCTTGCACAGTTGGGTTTCATTACTAGTGTTGTTTGACGATGTTCATATTGCGTTGTGCTTTGTTGATGAGTTAGAATATTGTTGCGGAGACTTCCAAACTCGTACAAGCACCATTAAGCTCAAAATTCTTTGAGCTTTTCTCTGGTTTGAACTCCTGCTAGATCCGGTTTGACCAAAATTTTACCCAAATTTGTGTTCGTTATTACTTAGTTCTTCATGTATCCATTCTGGAAGAAGAAGCTGAGGATGTGACAGTATAAACTTGGGCATATAGCTGGTTCAATAAGTTGTACATGGAAAAAGTGTGATTTTAGGTGTCTCATTTGACAGTGTAAACTTGGGCTCGTAGTTGGTTCGATAAAGTCAATAATTTTTTGGTTGCATTAGGAAATCTGACTGTAAAGTTTCAATTGTCTGACAACTAGAGTTGCCTTAAGTGGTTTTGGCCGTGGTGCCTGTCATACAAGTGGCTTGATTAAGCGTAGTTTGTGGATGTGTCCTTTTTGTGGTTTGAATGTCTGACTAGTGGCTTGGCATAGAATATCAACATTCCCCCTTGTGCAGTGCTCAGGAGGATTAAGAGAGGAAAGGATGCTGGATACTTAGACTGAGAGATGTTAAAGATGCTATGCATATTGTTACTGCTTTGTTTAGCTAGTCCTTCAAGTTACTCATCCTGCTGCATTAAAATCTCGTGAATGTACAAACAATTGGAAAAATATTTACATGAAATTATTCAGCAAGAATTACATATGACCACTGTGTGTCCAAAATGAGGGTATGCCCAAATGGTGAACACTAGAGAGCCCTTGGATCATTCTGGGTTATAATCTGACCACTGTATATAATGTACAATTTAGTAATAAAAGTCAATATTTTCCGAAAGTCGATATTTTCCGGCTTGTTTGCAACCCTGTTGCTTCACTGGGCACATTTGGAAACTGCACTTCAAAATCTTTCAGAAGTTGTGATTGAATGACGAAATACTAAATCCTCCAGTTTTTTTAACCCATTGTTTAGGATACTGTTTTATACTCCCCAAATAAAATTTGCCAAATATCTATCGACATCCCCGTGAGAAAAGACCGGCCAACTCCTAACCCCACTGTAAGGGATAATTGAGAAACTACCCTTGAGTTTACCCATATTACTCAAACTAAAAGTGGAACCGCAATTATTTCTGCTACCCCATCCTATTCCTCTAAATTGCACTCAAGAAAAACACATCAAACTAGAATGAATCCATCTCAGAATCATATTTTTCGTAACACCTTTCCTCTCTTCATATATATACACATTTCAGCACTAAAATCCTGGCCACATGAAAATCTAACATCACCTCTCATTAAAATTATATATAAAAAAAAAAACAGATGCGTACTCCTTGGTGTGAGCTGCGGTGCAAACATAGCCGACCACGTGGCTCGGAAAGCAGTAGAGGCCAACCGTCTCATTGACCCGGTCAAAGTAGTGGCTCAGGTCCTAATGTACCCCTTCTTCATCGGGAGCACTCCCACTCGTTCGGAAATCAAGCTCGCGAATTCCTACTTTTACGACAAGGCCATGTGTGTTCTCGCGTGGAAGCTTTTCTTGCCGGAAAACGAGTTCAGCCTTGACCACCCGGCGGCCAACCCGCTGGTTCTGGGTCGGGTCGGCCCGCCCCTGAAAAAAATGCCGCCAACTCTGACAGTAGTGGCGGAGCACGACTGGATGAGGGACAGGGCTATTGCTTACTCGGAGGAGCTTCGTAAAGTGAATGTTGATGCGCCTGTTCTCGAGTACAAGGATGCTGTTCATGAGTTTGCCACGCTGGACATGCTGCTCAAGACGCCCCAAGCGCAGGCTTGTGCAGAGGATGTTGCTATCTGGGTCAAGAAGTATATATCGCTAAGGGGTCATGAGTTCTCTTACTGATTTTGATTTTTATTTTTATTTTTTTTTTGGTTTGGTTTGGTTTGGATTAGTGTTGTAATGTGTATTTGCACGTTTGTTGTTTGATATTAGGTGATTGAGTTGGAGGAGATGTCATTTGTTGATTGAATTGTGGTGTAAGCGGTTGCTTTTTTGTAGATGGGGGAATAATTAATTATCGGAAGGTAAAATAAAGCCTACGGTTTATTTAATTATTTATTATTAACTCGATGTGTTTCGTGTTTAATCGTTTCATATAAAATGAATAGTTGTTGGGATGATAAGTCTATTAAATTAGATCTTGGTTGGCATGGATGACCGAAAAAATTGTACAGATATGCTTGAAATAGCTGTCTTTAAAGCAACTCAAGTTTTAGGTGCATAACATACATTTTTCTTGTATGTACTGATGTATTAAGTCCAAAATTCTTGTATTCGAGCAGGATTTCAACTGAAGGAGAAAAAATAAAGAACAGTTTTTCTGCACCTTTTTAAGGTGCCATTCCCGTAAAATTGAGCAGTGAAATGTTGGTTACTAGGAAGTTGGAAAATCTTTTGGGATCTTTTAAAATCAGTTTATATGCCCCATAATTTCGTTCTCTTTCGTGTGTTTGACGCATCCATCATGAATGGGACTTCAAGATAATATTATGTAGGCAGCCTGGCGATCATATGAAATAAGCTACAACTTTTTAAAAAAGTTCATTATACCAAATTTGAAATAAGCTTACCAAAACACACTACACTATTTTCTCCATCCACAAGCTAATTTTAAATTTTCATTTTTCAACCGTGATGAGGTGAATTTTTTCTCCATCTCCCTCCACAAAATATTTTAAATTTTTCATTTTTCATTTTTCAATTGTGATGAGGTGAAATAAGATCCACTTGTCTTGATAATATAATTCAAGGAAAAATTATCAAATTGCATGATGACAAATCTGATTGTGGAGTTCAAATGCGCTAATCACTCAAGTTTTAATTCAAAACACGCATCTCCCCATCTTTAGAAATTCTAATCTTGAACAGTTCCTGAAANCCACGGCAACAACCCGGTATTCGGGTCCTCAAAACTCATAACCACCCAATCCCTCAATTGCGTATCCTTAACTTCACAAAACCTCGTCGACCAATCAGACGGCTCCACCGCTTTCGTCCCCAATCCAGGCGCTCGATCCTTCGAACCCGCATTCGTCTCTTGCTGCCAATCAGACACATAAGTAGCCACTCTCCCTTTAAACTTCTCCTTAAACACCTCCCACACTTGGTACTTGTAATGATTGATCACCAACGAGCTTATATTAACGTTCGCGTGCCTAAACCCGGGCTTGAGCCCAAAATGATGCACCATGTTGATGAGAGACGAGTCGAGCGCTTCTGGCCTCACTATGCTCTTGTGCCTCTCGGGCACGGCCAAACGACACGTGTACCCAATCGAAACTCCTCTCTCTGGCGACTTCTTATGTCCCGAGGGCCCAAAGTTGTGGCAGGAAATTCGGAGCTCGGCTATATCGTTAGGTCGCGCGCGGTTTCGCACAAATTCGCGCAAGGACGAGTTTTTCGAAGGGAAGTGTAGGAACTCATCCACGTCTATGAACGCGATCCATTCACAAGTGTCTCTAGCCGTTAAGGCGCAATGCGCGAACCCGGCCTCTTGAGTCTTGATCCACGGCCACAATCGTCTCGTGATGTTGTGGTTATTATCGGCTATGAGTGAGTCCACCACAAGCTCAATGTGGTCGTCGCTATTGTTGTCGTAGATGAAGAAGCTTTCGACCCCAATGCCCGCGTGGTACGTTATCCATTCGGGCAAAAATCGAGCTTGGTTCCTCAACATTGTGCACACACAAACCTCGTGTAGCTTCTTCTTATTATTATTATTGTTGTTTGGTAGTTTTGGGTTTTGGTTGTTACTCACACGTACACGTGCGACTGAGTCGATTATCGTCTTCTTGCCCACGGTCCGAACCGAAACCTTGATTGAATTATTATTGCCTTTCCCGCCAAAATTGTGTAGCGATAGTATGCTAAGAGGCGTTTTGCACCTGACAATTTCTTGAGCGACCGAAACGGCGTCGGATTGGAGGACCAATTTTGACTTGGTCAGATCTTGACCGTAGACGCACTTGAATTTTGACGGGTCGGCGGCTCTTCCTGACCGTAGATTGAAGCCTTTCACGAACACGACGGTTGTGTTATCCACGTCAGCGTCGATTGTGGCCTCGTAGGCGAGGGAATCCCATTTGTAGGTGGGCCCAGGCGTGAGCGTGAGGTGACCGTTGCGCTGGACAGCGAGGGACAGGATCTCGCCACGTGTCGGGAGGGAACACCGCACGATCTGGTGGTGGGTGTCGTGGTCAAAGTCGACGGAAGATGGAGAGAGTTCGCGAGGCGGCTCGGATGAGGATGAGTTTTGGGGTTGATTATATACGCACTTGATGGCATCTTTGGTAAATAGGGAGGACGAGGGAGGGTATTTCAGGAAAACGAGGGCTTCGTCGGGAAAAATTACTGTATGGTCAATTGAGATCGATGGAGTTTCAGGGTATTCCGATATGGCCTCCGTCGCAGGGATATTTCCTTTTGTTACCAGTGCGGGTTGAAAACCTCCTGTATCAAATATTTCATTTTTTTAATAATATTAATTTAATATTCAATTTCAGACGAATTTAAATATTAAAGTCCAAGATAAAGCAAAAAGTAAGTGTTTACAGCAATTAAGTTACTGTGCAAGAGTTGAAATTCAATTGGATTACGCAGAAATATAGGAAAAAAATATTTCTGATGTCAAAGACATCATATGATAATCATATGAACAAAAGTATCTATTTTTTGTTAAAAAGAAAAAGAAGAAGAAGGAGAAGTACCTGTAAATAAGATGCCGAGAGTGGAGATAATGGAACCGGCGAAGCAGAGGATAACGACGGTGCACCACAAGCAGATTACGCACCAGGATAAAACAGTTCGTTTTTTACGATCTTTCATACCGGCGACCGAAAAAAAAATGACCGAATGCGTAGCTACTCTGGTTTCTGGTTTTTATTCCAACTCGTGCATTATTGTGTTAATTTTTCGGAGTCATATGCACTCTGAAATCAGGCACCTTATAAAGTTGTAAAAATCCTATTTCTAATGAAATTCGTGACAATAGTTGGGCTAGTTTCTGTTGGGATTTTGGCGAGAGTGGTTTTAGTATTTGCTGTGTTGATGAGTAGTTTTGAAATCTTTTCGAGCACTTAATAAAACTCTCTTAAGGATGTGTTTGTTTCAGAGATAAGCTGTTGTTTTATGTCCTTTTCCAGTAAGGAATTTTCTATTGTTCTTCTGGTATTCGTTGTATTTTATTTACTTTTTTATATGAATTTGTCAAGGAATGGAATTGTAGTGAGAGAAGACTCTTNTTAAGAAATGGAATAATCCTCGCAAAAACCTCGCAGAGCCGTAAAAAACAAATCAATAAAAATGGAGTCGATCTGGTGAACGTGCTACTTCTCTTTCCAACATCAATTCCTAAAGCCATATTTGTTTTTATTTTTTTTTATTTATGTGGTTTTTGACTTTTCTACAATTTATTTGAATGTTAATCGGTTTTATTGAGGGGAGGTTGGAATGGATTCCTAGTGGAGATAGTGGCGATGTCTAGTTTTGAACCCTTGTATAATTAATTGGTCTACTCGTAATAATAGACTTAATATAATTTAGTGTCTTTTTTATTTTCGAAATTTATGATTTTATATGATATATAAACTATGAGTGTTCTACCGTCAAATACTCATGTACACGTCTCGTACGTGTCTCAAAATATGTACATATTCAAATTGTGACACATGTCCTTTTACTTTTTTAAATATTTTTTTAAAAAAGAACTAATTAATTAAATTACTAATTTATCTTTACTTAAAAAACTAATGAGAAAATTTTTTTATATGGTACACTAACTTTATCTAATATGAAATTTTCACTTGATCAATTTTTGTACCAACCAAAAAAATAGCATAAAATTAAGAAAAAAATATGAAAGAATTTGCAGAAATATCCTTTCGAAGTAAAAGCTCATATGAGTTCAAAATATCAAATTAAGGCTTATTGTTGTCCATGAAAAGAGAAACAAAATAAAAGTTCACCCATCAAATTTGGATAGCGAGTCGATGAAAACCGTTGATTGAAGTATTCGTATCGCAACCGTGCACTGCCGGAAACATGAAACCTTCACTTGCGCTTTTTCGACTATTTAAAGGTCCGGTTGATGATCAGGGAAGAACGTTAGATTCCTTATGAAATTAGTTTTCTATACATACAAGTTTCGCAAATATTCAACGGGTGGATCTTCGATAACATTCAAAATAATTTACTGCGTAGTATTTTAATTTTTTTTTTCAAAACTCTAATAACGATTTACAAACTTTGAGGTATCATATGATGAAATTAAACATGTCGTTGGATAGATTGAGTCGAGAGCTATAAAATTATATATGATTTTTTAAAATTCACTAATTGTCAGTCTAGGAATTAAAACTTTATCACCAGCTTTCGACGGTTAAAATTCTACATTTTAGGACATAGTTGCATAGATTAGTAATCCCAAATTGTGTACCATTTCACAATTCCATGGAATGATTAATGTTCCCAGCATCATTATTAGAGTGCCAACTTTCAACTGCATTTTATGATTTGGCGATCATGAACGCTTAATCTCATTAAGAAATTCAGGAGAATGAAGATCATGAATAGAGTCTTTGCTAGAATTTGACTTACATGCATTGTCCGAACTCAGATAAGTCCTTCCTTCGATGGCGTTCAATGTTATCATGTAATCGTTAACCGACTCGACTACATCAAATGTGGAAGCATGTATTGTTCTGTCCTTCATATAGCTAAGCTCGTCACCAGAACACATGATCATTGAGTATATACTCTCAACAATAGTAGCAAAAGGATCCTCATATGATTTCATAATAATATCATCAAGAATGTCGATATCGGCATAACCGTCATTTGATCAACCGACTACATTGTCCTTAATGCTTGTAAGCCACTCTGAGAAGCGCCTGACTAGTACTCTTCAACTCCATTAAGGCTTCAAAGCATTATATTCCTAATGAGTCTCAGAACGGTACAATCTCGCCGCAACTTGGATGAATTGATTGTGTCAATCGCAATATCACTACAACTGCCTTTAGGAACAACCGGTAGTATCTGTCTAAAATCTCTACCAAATACAACAGACTTTTCACCAAATAAGAGATTTTTCTTCGATGGATCCAATACCTCCATTAAGGCTTGCAACGTATTGTCTACCGCCGCTTGGACGCATTACTTATTTATCATCCGAGCTTCATTCCAAATGATTAATCTACAGTGTATTATCAATTCCGCCAATGGAGATTTCTTGCTAATGTCACATGAAGGTGTCGAGATATGAATACGGTCGCCCTACAAAAATCAATTCAAACCATAAATTATAAAAACAGTAATGCTATAGGTACATAATAATGTATATAGATGTGTACATAACATTCACATTGAGTGGGTCCTACCAAAAATAAAAAATTAAGTGAAATCCACTCCATGTGAGTGTTATGTACATCTTTATTGAGTGTGTCCTACCAAAAATAAAAAATTAAGTGAAACTCACTCCATGTGAGTGTTATGTACATCTCTATTGAGTGTGTCCTACTAAAAATAAAAAATTAAGTGAAACCCACTCCATGTGAGTGTTATGTACATTTCTATGTACATTTATTATGTACGTTAGCATTTTTCTTATAAAAAAAAGATGAAAATATACGAAATCATGTTGTACAACATTTGCTTACCTCTGCAGACATCACGGAACACGAACTCTAGACCCGTTAATCGTTATGTTTTGATTATTACCAAAACTGGTTTTAGCGTAGCTATGGACCGAATGAAGCTTTCTAGTAGTGTGTATTCATTACATTGAATATAATATACAATTG